ATCTTACCTATCCAGTCATATTTAAATTAATCAGACTCTGAATTTCTATTTTTGTGTGACTGAACCACAGTTTAGGGATTTACCAGATAAAAAACTTTTTCAATTAATTTAAAATTATTTTTATTTATAGTTTTTAGTACTAAATAATGTTTTATCATAATTTTTATCAAAAGATTTATCATTAAATATTTAGATTAAAATATGGTAATTTCTATGCACTAGATAAATTATTTCGAAAACAAATAAGATCAAACATTAAATATAAATAAACAATCATGTGCATTATACAAATTAATTTATTCAGTGATTATTATAAAAATAATGTTTTTGACAAACAATTACAAAATTGTTTACTTATTATTAAATATAGAATTTTTTACAAATTAATTGTTTTAATTGTCTGAAAAGTTTTGTTTATAGCATTATTTGGATGCTTTTAATTTGTAATTTATTTACTGTTTTAATGTATAACAATATTTTTAAAATATTCATAAATATTATATTAATTGTTCAAAGAATCTAATTATTATTTACAAATACTATTCTCGTATATTAGTTATAGTTTTATTATATAAAGAATATATTTTAATCTTGTGATATTAAAATAATATAAAATTTTATGTACAGTATTTAATTCTTTTAAACATTACATTTTGTTTAATATACAATAATGTGGAAAAATATTTATAGTTATTAATTATTATTAAAAATTAATTAAATAATTAACAAAAACAAGTAAATAATATAATGATTTTACAATTATATAATGAGTTTTCAGTTATTTAAAAAAATATATGACTTACAAATAATGAGTATCATGTTCACTTACATATTCTATTAGATCTTTATAGATACTCTTACATATATTAATCATATAAAATTTTTACCTAATATCTGTTATAAAAAACTAAATTATGGGAACAGTTATGTATTTAAATTATTGGCCAATCTATGGCCTTGCATTTGTAGCCGCTATTTGTTTATTGTATAAGTAAGTTATTGAACGTAATTATATTTCTATGTTAATGTTTTAAAAATGTCTAAATATAAATTTAAATTAATTATAAATAATTGAGCATGTTAGGCTAACTTTTATGTTTATTAACAGACATTTAACCAAGAATTTTGGTTACTTTAAAAAGTTGGGCCTAAAAGGGCCCAAACCTGTAGTCATATTCGGTAATCTATTGGATCTGCTGTTTATTTCAAAGCCCGACCTCGAAGTGAAGCGAATGAAACAATTTGGCACAATCTATGGGTAATTAATGTTTATTAACTTATTTTTTGTAAATGTTTACTAATAAAAAAGAATCTATTTTAAGTTTAAATTAAAAACTTTAGGCCTTAAATTGTTTACAATGTTTAAAAATTAAACTAGATTTTAGAATATAATTCCCATATTCAATTCTAAAAACTATAATATTATTATTTACCCTAACATATAATCTAAATAAACTTAGACTAAATGAATATTACATTATTTGACCACAAAAACTAATTATGATTTATTACACAATATCACAAGCATTTTCGAGGGCAGTCGACCGCTCATACAAGTGGGCGATCCGGAGATTATCAAACAGGTATTGGTCGAGGATTTCCGGATGTTCAACACCAAAATCCGTATCGCAAACGTTGGTCACCCTATCGTCGACCGCATGCTTGTGGCGGTTCGGGGCGAACAGTGGCGCCGTATGCGGGCAGCCATACAGCCGGCGTTCACCACCGCTCGCACGCGTCGCCACTACCCTCTGGTCAGGCAATGTGTGGCCCAACACTTGGTCAGTGTGTTGGAGGGGTACGCCCGGGAGGGCCGCCCCTGCGAGCTCAAGCGTACGTTTGGCTGCTTTTCGCTGAGCGTTATTACCCGCAGCGCTTTCGGTATCGCCACTGACCCCCACAGTCAGCCCCAACACCCGTTTGTACGCACGGCGTGGCCGTTGATTGTGCTCCCGGTGTGGAAGTTGTTGGCCCTACAGGTGCTGTCGGGACAGGTGTTGAAAGCGTTTGGTTTGCGGTCTATTTTTAATGAAAAAACTATTGATAATATATGCGATAATTTGAAGGGTGTGTTAAAAGCGAGGGAACATTCGGTGGAGAATACTAATGATTTTTTGGGAGTATTCATGCGATCAAAACTCGGTCCCAACGAACCCGAGCCTAATGATGATATGGAAGGTTAGTTTTTTAAAATATGATTAAGGTAATAATTAATGTTTTTCTTTTTTTTAATTTCAATATGCTAGTTTTGTTCTGTTATGTTTATTATAATTGTACCCTACATGTCCGTATATTGTTAATGTAATATAAATTTTACATTGTACGTGCCCTGCACTGGTACACTGGTTTTCATTAATAGTATTTTGTTTTATTTAAACTCTTTCCATAAATGTGCAAGCACATTTAATTAAATAAAACAGCCTTATTAATTAAATTTTAAGAATGCGATAAGCTAATCATTATATCAATTAAATAATATTACATTTTTAATTAAACTATTGATTAGTAGTATTTGTATTGATGTGAAAATCACTAACAAATGTATAATTAGGAGAAAATAGTCTCGAAATGAAAGCGAAAACGTTTGACAACAATATGTCGGACAACAAGAAGTTGACTGAAGAGGAAATCCTTGCGCAGGGATTCTTCATATACTTCACGGCTTTCGACCAAATCTCAAACGTATTGTCGTTCTGTGTCTATGAGTTGGCACTCAATCCCGACGTTCAGCACCGGCTCTACGAAGAGATTGCCGGCGCTGTGGACGCCGACGGGGAGATCGGTTACGACGAGTTGTGTCGACTGCCACTACTGGACGCTGTGATCAGCGAAACCCAACGCCTTCACGGCGGACCCGTTAAGTACCGGCGAATACCCGGCCGTGAGTTCCCTTTGGGCGACACCGGGATTGTGGTGCCGAAGGGACAGCCGATTGAGATACCAGTTTACGCCATCCATCACTCGGAAGAGTACTTCCCGAACGCCCTTCAGTTCATTCCCGACCGCTTTTTGCCCGAAAATCGTCACAATATAAAGCCGTTTACATTCATGCCGTTCAGCGCCGGACCCCGTGTTTGTGTGGGAATGGCGTTCGCCTTAATGGAGCTGAAGCTGGCATTAGTTCATGTGTTGCGTCGCTTCCGGTTCGCCGTCCATAAGGACACAAAAGTGCCGCCAATTGTCAAAACACATCCCGTTATGAAAGCACCGAAAACTATGTATCTGTCGGTTGAGGCCAGAGATTAAATGAAAGTATTATTCTGTACTGTGTTTTCATATATTGTTTATATTTATGAAACATAATGTTTAACTTCTAATATCTTTGAATAATATAGAGTATTAAGTAATATACAGTTTAAGACACTTATGGTCTAAATTAAACAATAAATTAATGCAAAATTTTGTAAAATTCATAGAGGTTTCAAAATTATTTTTAATAAATTTTTTATTTTTAAAAACATACATGTATTACTTTACTGTATAATGAGACTCTCAGAACTCAATATTCAGTATATATTTATTGAAATTCTAAACATAATTATTGATTAATTTTTTATTTGATTTAATTTTTGTTTAGTTAATTATAAATGTTTGTTAACTAGTGGTCAAGCATTTAAAGTTGCAAATAAAATTAATTCATTAAACAATTTAATAACTACTTAAGTGATTATCACTTAATTTATTTATTAGCTTACTATGTATTGACATACATGGTGTATATTAATGGGCTATAATCTTACAAAAATCAGTTAATATACAGTATAACTTTTTAAATAATTATTTTTGTTAACACAATAATTTTTAAACAATCATAAATGTCCACGTTTATAATAAGTACACTAATATTAAGTGTGTCAAAACCTTGTGCTGGTTTATTTTTAAATAATTATCATTAAAAATTTGCTAAATAATGGTGTCATGTATTAATTGTTAGGATGTAAGACAAAGTGTTTTGTTTGACAAAATAGATAATTGTATTTAAACAAAAACAATGACAAATAAAACACCGCTTAAAGTGTTATTTGTGCCGATCTTAGGCGTAGGGTCTTTCTGGTTCCTGTACGGGTTAGTATGCATGGGTATTGCGATATTCAGCCATCAAATCGTGCCAATGGCCACAAACACTCGGGTTTTTGCCACATTTATGAT